GGTCTTGCAGTTACCCATTAGCCTATTGCTATTTATTAAACGTTACGTTAGATCTTAGAACAACGTAATAGTGCAAGTACATTTTAAGCTTGAATTAACATAGCCATAATAAAGACCAACCAAATTAATAAATGTGTAAACAACTGACACCGGGTAGTGTTTGAAGCCACGATCTAAGCGATCCGTACATATGCTCTATCTAACTCAGCTATCTATCATACCCCACTGAAGTCAATTTGTTTCTTAATAAACCTTTACATTTAATAAGCCTACATGTGCTAAAACATGTTAAAACACAAAAAAAAACAAATTAATGACATAAACTTGACTGTATTTTAAAGAACATTATCTACCTAGAACGGGATTGATGGACCTCCCACCATATATGAAATGGAAATCTTAAAAAAGATTGGTATGTGGCAAAAAATCCATAAACATGTATTAAGGGCACAGATTCTTTAGGTCACAAACTATAATCCACTTATTAAAGCAACATAAATGTTGTTAAAAATCTTAGCTCTACCTTTATATAAAAAACTAACTTGAAAAAATAAAGAATAGGTAAAAAAGCAATGATAATCAAAAGAAATTATTTTAAATTAAAGATACACCTACTTAATAAATACATTAATTTACCAAAATAAGGTAGTAGGTACATAATATAATATGTAATTGGTAATAAGGTAAAAAGTATATTTTTTTAGATGTCCACTTTTTTCAGCGGCTATTAAAAAGCTTGTGGTATCTTCACCGAATTTTGGTTTTTCAGGAAGAAATATTTGTAATTCTTTTTTGTGAAAAGATATTAGATGCTTCCTTAAACCTGACGTGTTTCATTTTTATTTCTATGTAGGCACAATTTACACAAAGTAATTGATGGATTCGACCGTTACTTGATAGAAATTCATTTTATGTAACAATAGATACTGAAAACTTTGTTTTTAAAACTTCCACCAACTTTAATATAAACTCTTATCACTACAGCTGTTTTGGCTAATTGCCTTTCTCAACTTAAGAAAGAGTCTCGCAGGCTAGTCTTGTTCATGCTTAAATCTTGCACGGTCAGTCTTGGTCTTCGTTTTGCGAAAACGCAAGAACCAGACCAAGACTGCAAGACCAAGACCGATTTTGGGCAGCACTATCTCTCTCCTTAAACTTTTCTGGTGAGACTTTTTGATCGTGACATTTTCTGCAATGTTTGAGACAATAACAACTCTCAAAATTTTTAGCTATATTATGAATTGACTGTACGCAAGGAATTGGTCTACCTCAAAAAAACACAGAAAATAGATCTACACACTGTTGTCCAGAATTACCGCCTTAAAACTATTTTATTATTTGAACCTAAGCTCTTATTGCTCTGTATAATGGCAAATTATTGGCGACGCATGTGTCAACCGAGTTTCGTGGAAAGTCAACGGCGCGCAGTGTTGCCATTTATAGGGATATATCTAATTTAAAACTAAACGTAATGTATACCGACTCTTAGCTAATTATTTATTCTCATTTTGCCTATTTCTGAAAGAGCAATTTCTTAAATTCCCAAAAAAAAAAAACAATAAAAGAGAAACCTAATTAATTCAATTTAGAGCCCGTTTTTTGTCATAGTACCACCAATGGTCGATACAAAGTGTGTTAGATAAGTTTATTTGTCTATTAAAGTTCCTGAACACGCTTTCAGGAAATAAATTGTGAATGTAAACGCATGTACCGAGAATTTAATTTTGCAATTTACATATAAATATTGTCATTAAATTGCTTGCAAAACATAACAAACATTTACCTAGTTTTGTTCAAATGTGAAAATAGTTCCCGGAGGTGAATTGACGATTAATGATATTTGCAATAAAAGTTTGTATAATTAATTTAGAGAAAATGTGGTTTAGTAAACATTGTATTTCCCGTAGCTATAAAGTTTTGTTTTTAGTTTAACACGATTATAATATGAAATAAGAGATCTCAATTTAGCCAACAAATTTAAGGAGAATACCAAATAAGATAGATTATAAGTTAAACTACATATTTTGGGTTCAAAAATAGCTAACTTAGTTGCACAGTGAAAGTCAATTTTTTAATATCTTATTAATTGTTTCAAATTTTGTAATGATACTTGGCTGTCTTAGAGTGAAAGGCTTAAAAAAAATTACAAAATCTGTACACTCCAAAAATGTATGGGAGTTGACATTCTTTGTACGTTCCAAATTGTTGTTATTGTGGCACTATTAATACTATCTTGCTTCTTAATACTTTGTCTTTAAGGTCGGTTTCAATTCCGTCTATATTTTATGCTCAAACATTCCCAAAAGTCTTTCATCCTTTTGCGTGCGAATCCATATGTGTTGACCGGCCTTAGCAGTGTTCTGTATATAATAATTTTAGTTCTTCTTTGGTTGTTTCTTGAGTGGAATTCTTGAGTCCATTCGCTTGTTTTGTTGGTAGTAGTAGATATGTCTTTCAAACACTGTTTCTCGTTCCTCATTTCCTATAGTATCCTTAGTAACCAACATGTACTTGGTTTTGTCTTAATTGATCTATTATGAATACCACCTCCGTCTCTAATTCGTGTGCATCGGACTGCCTTACCAAGAAAATATTTAATAGGAGGCAATCTCCCCTTGTCTGAGACCATCCTTTTTCTCAAACGTTCTAGAATTCTCTCCCAGTATCTTATCGCTGGGTTTTAAGTTAGACATTTTCATTCTCGTTAATCGGATAAGTTTTTCTGGTATATCAAACTTATGCATTGATTTTTATGATACTGTCGTATGCGGCCTTGAAATCGTAATTCATAGCTTTGTCTAAAAAAAAAAAAAATTATCTAGACACGAACTCTTTTTCATTGCGCTTCAAAAATTACGAATACAAATTTACCCAATTAAAGTTATATTCGGAGGCTGGCGACTTTATATGTTAAATAAAACTATAAGCCTTGATTTCATAGTGTATTAAAACTTCACCTTCTAGCACATAACCTTATCTTCTGTCAAGGAAGGTTAGCCTGCATCCTCGTGACAGCTTTGCTAATTAGTTACTGTCACTGCTCTCACCATTTAGCACTTCAACCACCTTAACATTGTATAGTTATGTACGACATATTTCATGTCCCTCTCTTTACAAATTTAGTTTTAAAGGTGATTTAACAACTCTACCTGATCTAGTTTTGCAAATATCTGACTGTTCAGTTACATTCCTTTCGATGTCAATAGAGGAAGGTAATTCTTCCCTTGTCAGCTGTGTTGAGGATGAGCGTTATTAACCTGACTCATCACCTATCAGTAAGTATTACAGATGTCTGTGACTTAAATTTATTTAGACATTCTCTTATATATACTCTATTGCGACGAACAATATTATTTCGCTCATATCTCAAGATATATGACCTTGGGGCTTCGTGCTGTGATAATATTTGTACTGGTTCTCACCTCCTTTGCCATTGACTGTACATTATACATGACAACAAATCTGTTAGGTTCCAAAGACTTTAAATCCTTAACACCCTGGTTACATATTGATATCTACCAAAGGGAGTGCCAAATGTACAATAATCTGCACTCTGATCATTAATTTTAATTTGAAAGTACCCATCTTTCATATGCAGAACTGAAAAATATCATTTGTTACACAATTTTGCAGCAGTTTCATCTGTATCCCACAGAATACTGTATCCCACAGTATTCTCTTTTAATAGCTTTGTTCAGATACTTCGGGACCAGACACAATCTTAAATCTTTGTTTTGCTTTTCAACAATTACAATTGGGTTCAACCATTCTGCAATTTTCTCTACTTTTCTAATAGTACACTGATTTTCTAGTTGTTTTAATTTCTTTTTTAATTTCTTATGTAAAGCTGGAGGAACCCTACGAACTGGTTGAACATGAGGAACTGCAATTGTCTTTCAATGAAATGTGATAATCATTAGAACTTGCCCTGTCCGAACCCTAAACCCGCGGCCGATCAAGTACGATGAGATTAGTCCTGACATCTTCTCATTTTGTAAGTCAATCTTTCATGACAGACTCTGTCGAAGGCTTTGCTTACGTCCAGAAAGGCAGCTGCTGTAAGCTGATTGTCGTTAAATCCAGTTGTTATGTACTCTGTTAGTCTGAGTACTTGCAGTTCGCTGGAGTATTCTACTCGGAATCCAAACTGAGCTTTTGGAACTATTCCTAACCCGTCTGTTTCTGATTGAAGTCTGCTTAGTATGAGTCTATCTACAATTTTGCTGACTGCTGGAAGTAAGCTATTGGCCTGATATTTTGAGGAAAGGTTTGGTTTTTTCCTGGCTTTGGAATCATAATAATGTGGGCTTCCTTCCATCGGTTTGGGAAGAGCCTGTATCTGAGTATCGCATTTGTGATGTTTGTTAAAAATACAATTGCTTTCGCTGTCAGATATTTTAGAGCTCTGTTTGAAATTTTATCTAGACCAGGTGCTTTTTTCGGTGAACTATTTTTTATTAGTTCGTTTATTTTTTGTGAGGATGTAGGTGTAATTATCTCGTCTGCTTCTTCGGGCATTTCTTGGTATTCTTCGACTTCTAACCTTTACCGTGATTTTGCGCTCAGAGATATACGATTAGATTAGTCAAACAATGGGGACGGGCAAGCCGATGTTCAGTAGTTTCCTCACCAATCCGGAAGGTTGTCGAAGGCTTTCTGTACATCGAGAAAATAGCGACAGAAAGTTTTATGTCATTTAAATTTTGGATAATATGAGTGATGATTACAATCAACGCTATTTTAGAAGAATGACCTTCCTTAGAACCGAATTAAATGAATAAAGGAGATTCTAATTGGGGAATTATAATGTGGCTAAATACACAAATCGTATTACTCAATACATTTGTCCGATGTGATACTCAATCTGTTAGAAGTAACTTTGGCTCTAAAATAATTTAAAAAGTATTTATAATAGATAATTGTAATATATTTAAACAGAAAACATTACTATTTTTCTATAGTTAATAACATAAAATACTTTAATACTTTTTTTATTTCAGACAAAGATCGAGACTACATCGGTTTTGCTACTCTTCCTGACCAGGTCCACCGAAAATCAGTTAAGAAAGGCTTCGAGTTCACGCTGATGGTGGTAGGTGAATCGGGGTTAGGGAAATCCACATTGTTAAACAGTCTCTTCCTAGAAGATTTATATAGAAATAGAAAAATTCCAGAGGTCAGTGAAAGAATATCTAAAACTACAAGCATCGAGAAGAAGACTATGGAGATTGAAGAGAGGGGTGTTAAGTTAAGGTGGGTTTATTAAATTTTTATCCATTTATTATTTTGTACATTCAAATTATTTATAGCTCAGACAAGAAAAGAGCGGGGAAGCGTAATCATATGGAATTGATTGACGCCAAACCGGCACCAGAAAGATTGCCAGGTCATATTTTATTTCTACAGTAGATTAAGAATAATGAATTAATATAAATATATATATATATATATATATATATATATATATATATATATATATATATATATATATCAATAAATGGATTTTTTTTCAAAAATTTATAATTGAACACTTACCTAATGATCACTTTTAAAACATGATTTTATCATTACATATTTTTTAGTAGATCGATATAGTGTTTCAGTAAATCAGTCACATCGAAACTGGCTTCACTTTTCGAAGGTTTATTAAATGAGTGTTACCTGTTCTCTCTCTATTTCCTTGTCTAAGGTTTACAGTATACAACTTTATTTTTCCTTTCTTAAGTCGATTTCAGAGATATATCGCTCTCGAAACTCTAGCCCTATCAGAGATAAGCATAGCGTGCAGATATCCATCAATCATTGCAAATTAGTAATTTTATCAAATTACACTTTTGAAATGACTTTTCGATTACAGTTTAAGTTTTGTTTTAGGTTAACATATTACGAAAGAAATTTCTTTGTTTAATTTTTTTTGTATATAAGACGAAAAATAATAAGTTCGTTAGTGAAAGCAGATTCTAGATTTTATAGAATATGTTTCGATAAGTTTGTAGCAAAATATTCGGAGACAGTTTAAGATAACGATCTTTACACTATGACAAAAGTCTGAATAATGTTTAAATTAGTGTTGCCCAAAATCGGTCTTGGTCTTGCAATATTGGTCTTGTTCTTGCGTTTTCGCAAGACCAAAACCAAGACCGCCTAATTTCAGCAAGACCAAGACCAAGACTGACCGTGAAAGATTTGAGTTAGAACAAGACTAAGCCTGCGAGACTCTTGCGTCTTGCAGTTAGGATTGAGTGTCGTTTTAGAGAGTGTAGTATATGCTAGGAGACTATGAGATGCAAACAAATATGTAACAAAAATTTGAAAAATTAGGCTTATGCGCATTACGAACAATATAAACGTACATAGCGAATCAAAATATTCATTAAAAGAACACTTGACACATTTGACACATACTCAGAGGTCATAATTACAATGTAAAAATAAAATATTTTGTACACTTCTTTCGCAGCAAGCGACTTCTTCTCTCTGAAATTGATTATCCAGATTTTGAGAATAGCCGCCCTCTAGTCATAAAATAATCTTCTTGCCGACACTAATACGTATCGAAACTTTTTAAAAATATGTCACCTTAGCTGATAAAAAATATAATAATGTTAGCATACCTACTGTTAAGAACACCCACTTAATAATTCAATTTTTTTCCTTATTAATAATTTAGTTAGGAGAAATCTATACCACAAATCTTAACGGCCTAAGACTAAACATCGTTTCTGCTAAGTGTGAGATGATATCATTCGGTTGAACAAAATTTGCTAAAAGAGTACGGTTAATATTCAAAAGTAACGAGACAGATTAAAAATTAATAACAGATAATGCCGGCTACCGTGTAAACAAAATACCGAAATATGAAAGTAACGAAGTATCGATATATAATTCTCGGTTTGTTATTCGGTACTTAGGGTATTGGATAGTAATGAGTAGTTACTTTTTCGACATCACTAAACTACTACATTCCCAATTGAGCTTTCTCCTTTGAGTCTAATGTAATATTTGTTTTTTATCTAATCTTAAAATGCAGTTAAGTTTATGTCATTAATTTGTTTTTTGTGTTTTAACCATGTTTTAGCACTTGCAAGCGTATTAAATGCAAACGTTTATTAAGAAACATATTGACTCCTGTAGGACATGGTAAATAGCTCAGGTAGTTAGAGCATAGGCACGGATCGCTTAGAGCGTGTGTTCAAACCCCACCCGGTTTCAGTTATTTAGACATTTATTAATTTGGTTGGTCTTTATTATGGCTATGTTAATTCAAGCTTAAAATGTAGCTACTCTGTTACGTTGTTCTAAGATCTAAAGTAACGTTTAATAAATAGCAATATGCTAATGGGTAACTGCAAGACAAGACTCTTGCTGCAAGACCAAGACCAATACCAAGACCGGGAGCGCAATACTTAGAACAAGACCAGGTATATTGACCCAAGACCAAGACTGTCTTGTCTTGTTCTTGCATTTTGGGAAAACTAGTTTAAATGCAAATGGTGCTCTCAAAAAAGTCTAAAAGTTGCAGGAATACAACTAGAATTTCAAGAAAAGAGCAAAGATAAACCAAGAAATTAATGATATTCTGAGAATTTGGAAGTCCTTTAATAAAATGCCCTATCTGTTTTAGAGGTTGGCCTCCATCAAGGCAATGCAAACCTTATCTACTGCTCTGGTTTAAAGGAAGTGGGCCCCACTAGTGAGAGCCACTTGATTGTGTATCGTCTAAACAACTACCACGGTTGGGCTGTGAAGAAGTGTGCCTAATGGAAGATGGTAAATGCTCCAATAATTGGCAACACGGTTACACAAAACACGATACTAATGTCCAGGCTTTAGTCTGGTAGCGTTGTCTTGATCGTGGTTCGAGAGAGATACACTACAAGTGGTTCTTGAGTGAGATAGACCACAATGAGAAAAGAGAACACAAAAGACAAGACAATTTTGGGCACCACACTATTTTTGAAAGTAATGGGTAATCCTAATAAATAAGAGAACGGAAAGGAAAGAAGATGAGAACGATAACGGGAAATACACGAGATGATTACTACACAGAAAAGACACTGATCAAACTTCGTTATATGATGTAAAAAAACAATTGCAATAAGTAAAGATATGAATATTATTAATATAAAAAACAACGATCAGTATAGGCTTAATGTCACAAAAAGAATATGTATAGCAACAAAAAAAAATAGACTCAAGTATTTAATAAAATTCTACGAAGTTTAGGCAAAAAGGAATAAAATCTTTTTTAAAGTTGATTATGTCAATGGTTATTTAACATTTTTCTGGAATTTAGATAAAGAAACGAATAATTATTGAACCATGAGAACACCTAATAAAGGCTCAGTCGTCCCTTGTTAAATGATAATTATATATAATTCAAGTACATTCAACCAACTTATACCTCTAAACGATTAACGGAATTTGCAGAAAACCTTTCGTTGTAGTAAAAGCCACGGTAAACTGCACTGGTGTTCTCCATAATGTTTAATACTTTGCTAAATTTTAGATATAAAATAAATATATGCGTCATTATCCCGTTGTTCATAGTTTTGCATATTTTGTTACATTTTTTTAATAAATAGTATTCTTGCATAATGTTATTTAACATAAATTTCTTTCATCTACTTGTTTAATAATTTTATTCTGAAACAAATACTACCGTGCTAAGGATAATTTATATTCAAAGTAGATATACTTATATATAGATGTACTAAAATATCACTTTTAATTTTTGTTAAAAGATACTTCGGAGTAAACTAGACCATTTTGTCAATTTAAATGGTAGTGGTTAGACCACCACCATTATAGTCGCTGCGCTGTATTACGCGGGTTTCGGATTAACAAAATTATCTTCTTCTTTTTGTTCCACTCCTATCGGAGATTGGAAATCATCAAGGCTATTCTAGACCTTGTTTACGGCTGACCTAAAGAGTTCATTAGTGGTGCAGCCAAACCACTCTCTCAAATTCCGCAACCATGACATTCTTCTACGGCCTGGATTCTGTTTTCCTTCTATTTTTCCCTGCATTATATTTTGAAGTAATGCGCATTTATGTCCTCTCATCAGGTGACCAAAATATTCGAGTTTTCTTCGCTTTAGCGTTAACAAAATCTCTGGGTCTTTTCCTATTCTTCGTATTACTTCACAGTTTGTTATTCTTTCAACCCAACTAATCTTCAGCATTCGACGGTAGCACCACATCTCGAAACTTTCAATATTTTTCATGTTGTTCTGTTTGAGAGTCCAGGCCTCTACGCCGTATAATAGCGTGTTAAATACATAGCCTCTCAGCATTCTTAAATCGTAGAGGGATGCTTATATTTCTGTTACAGAAGAATTTTCTCATTTTTATGAAGATGGCCCTGGCAATTTCGATACGTCTTTTTATTTCACTGTTTTGGTCTCCAGTTTCGTTTATTAAAGTTCCCAAGTATTTGTAACTTGATACTTTTTCCAATTTGAGTGCCGTTTATACTAATATACGCTGGTTGTGTCATGTTTTTACTGAAGACCATATACTTGGTTTTTTTAATATTGATATTTATACCATAATTGTTGCAAGCAATATTTATGTCTGTAAGTAATCTTTGTAATTCTTCTGCTGTTCTTGCAACTAGTACAGTGTTGTCCGCGTATCGATATTATTTACAATCTCTCCATTAATACGATTCCTCCGTTTTGCTTGTAAAAGGGCTTCCTGACAGATGCTTTCACTATATACATTAAATAACAGAGGTGACAAAATAAAACCCTGTCGTACTCCTCTACGTAATTTCTATTGCTTGTGATGTTTCAGTTTCTATTTTGATAGTTAGCTTTCTGATTCCAATATAGATTGAGTAATTATTCGCAGATCTTTATTATCTATGTCCTTTCTTTCAAGAATCTCTCTAAGCTTATCATGGCCGTACTCTGTCAAACGCTGTTTCAAAATCGATAAAAACACGTATGTATCTCCTGATTAACGTCTAGGCATCTTTGTGTAAGAACATTCAAACCGAAGAGAGCTTCTCGAGCACCAAGCCCTTTTCTGAACCCCATCTGTGTATTACTAATATCTGACTCCCAACTTTTGATAAACTCGGTTCTGGATGATTTTTAGAAATATCTTTAGTAGGTGACTCATTAAAGATATTGTTCGATGTTCTGAACATTCTTTCGCATTAGATTTCTTTGGCAGTGTAACAAATGTAGACAACAGCCACTCTTGAGGTATAATACCAGTATTGTATATTGTATTAAATAAGTG